CAATCGGGTGCAGATGGATATTCGCTAAGAAGCGAAACGAACACGGACAAGTGGTGCGCTACAAAAGTTGACTCGTCGCAAAGGGGTTCAAGCAGAAATTCGGTGTCGACTTCTTCGAGACGTACTCTCCCGTGGCAAACATGAACTCGATCAGGGTTGTGCTAGCTGTGGTGGTGACAAAGGGATACGTCACTGAGCAGCTGGACGTAGACACGGCGTTCTTGAACAGTGATCTCAAGGAAGAGGTGTACATGGAAGTGCCAAATGGCATAGCTAATGCGGAGAAGATGATGTGCAAGTTGGACAAGGCAATCTGCGGTGTCAAGCAGGCTGCAAGTGCGTGGAACAAGACAATCCATGCTGTATTCTTACAGATCGGATTTCGTAGCAGCGGAGCAGATCAGTGTATCTACGTCAAGCATCAAGATGACAACTATGTCTATGTTTGTCTCTACGTCGACGACATGATCATCGCCGCCAAGACCAGCAGGGAGATTCAAGAGGTCAAGACAGCACTCAAGAGCTCATTTCGTATGAAGGAGCTAGGCAAGGCTAAATTAATTCTTGGCGTGGAGATTGATCATGACCACAACTGCAGTAAGCTGATGATTCGACAGACTCGATACATCGATGATGTGGCCAGCCGTTTTAATCAAGAGGACGCAAAGGCAGTGGTCAACCCATGCGAGTCCGGCCTGAAGCTGTCAGAGAAGCAATCCCCAACGACGGATGTCGATAGAGCATAAATGCAGTCAAAGCCGTACAGGTCGCTGATCGGATGTTTGCTATACATCACGACATGTACGCGCCCAGATGTGATGTATGTCATCACGCAGTTATCAAGGTTTTTGGAGAATCCAGGTCAGCAACATTGGAAGGCAGCCATTCGTGTTCTTCGGTATCTCAAGACGACAAGAGACTACGGGATAATCTACGACGGCAGCGCTAGCGAAGTAACAGCTACAGCGTATACGGACGCGGACTGGGGGTAGCAACATCGATGATCGACGCTCCGTGTCAGGGATAATGGTGATCATCGGTGGCGCACCAGCCATATACAAGTCCAAGTATCAACGCACGGTGGCTCTAAGCTCTGCTGAGGCAGAGTACATGGCTTTAAGCCTGTGTACACAGGAAGTGTTATGGGTTCGTGCGCTGCTTAAGGATCTAGGTCACGAGCAAGTGGGAGTAACGTGGGTCTGGGAAGACAATCAAGGAGCAATTGGGCTTGCCAGCAATGCCGGCTACAATTCCAGAATCAAGCACGTTGACATTCGTCACCACTTCATCCGGGAGAATGTGGCCCACGATATCATCGTGGTCAAGTACATCTCCACCATGGACCAATTGGCCGACATGCTAACGAAGGCTCTGGGGACCAAGCGACTGAACTATTTGATACAAGCAAGCTGCATTGGACCCAAGGGCATTTAGCAATAGCGGTATGTGGGAGTGTTAACATAGCACCGTCTACTGCTTTTTATGTTCGTGGATAGGTTTGGAAGAATCGAGAAGGACTGACTGAGAAGAAGCACAGCATGACGTCATCGGGTGACGTCACAAGGAGAGCTTCTTAAACCTTCTGGAAGATCTTGAGAAGATCGAAGGGTGTTGATTGATCTAGATAAACCAGTGAACCTTCTAGAAGATCTTGAGAAGATCGAAGGGTGTTCATTGGTCGAGCTAAATCAGTGGGACTGATATAGTTTGTCTAAGTATAGGAAATGAGTGGCTTAGAGGTAGCGAAGCAAGTTTGCGAACTAAGGACCATAAATATATTCACTTCACAATTTGCCTTCGCCTGCGCCCATCAACATCAACAGAGATTGATACATAAATTGACAACATTAAACTCTCTCTTTAGCGTCTGTTGTTGTACGGTGTTTTGCAACTAGTTCAGTTCGATGAACTGGATTACTTATCAAAGAACGAGCTCCAGAGCTTGCTCCCCTATCTATCAGTTCTTTGTACTGAATTAATTACACATACCAAAGGGCGAGCCCCAGAGCTTGCTCCCCTATCTTATCAGGAGAGGCCCCTCTGACAACGACAGAGAAGGGTGACGTAAGTTCTGTTTAGTAAGTTTGTCGACTGAAAAGTACGGAGCTTTTTCTCCTGTCTTAATACGGCGATGTCATTTTCAATCCCATTCTTAGAGGACTAAACCACATCTGTTGAGAGTAAGTAACGTGACGTCGTATACGCCTGGCCGTCACTCGACTTTTTGACCAGGTCGGCGTAAAGTAGAATCGATTATTACATTGCGATGGATGCTCAAACGACAATGCACAATGGAAGAGCACAAGTTTGTGCCAAGTAAAACTGCTTTGTATTCAGACTACTACATCAAAGACCGTGCAGACAAAAGTTGGTTGGTAGACTAGCACAGTAGTGGTGCGAGTCGGGAATCCAATGGCTGCGTCAAACAAAACAAAACAGAACACTTCGAGTGACGCTATGAGCTATGGCTGGCCTGCGCGTAACTATTGGCGAAAATGCTTCTTCGGTGAGCAGTGCGCGGTGCAACACTCACGCGCGCTGAAATTGGTTTCGGAATCACGGAGCCAACACTCTCTTGCTGCAGATTCTTTTTTCGCCTGGGAATCGCAAGCTAGCGTATTACCACAGTACGGCAACCACTGGGCATGGGTAGAGACGATCGAGACGGCCACGGCGAGGATGACGAATGCGCAGATCCTGATGTTCATGATTGCGGACGATAGCTGCGTACGATGCTGTGGGGTAGTTCGCCTGGCTTGGCGAGTGTCAGAATGAGAGTCAAGGCGAAAAAAACGGAGGTCTAGGCCGTTGAGCGCATAAGGAAGGTCAAACGTTAGGAGACGATTCACCTAGCCGAACACAGAGTTGACCATCCATGTATTCAGTTTCAGCCTGCTGTAAAATTTTACGTTCGAGAGGGTTGCGACTTGCTGACTACGCCATCTGTAGGGCGCTCTCGTCCGGCACTACTCGAGGTTCAAGATCGCCAGAGATCCAGGTATATGATGGATCATCCATGCATCCAAAAAGCAATACGGAAAATACAATCGCACGACCATACTTCCAGCATTGTGTAAAAACGAGCTTCTAAGTTGTGGACGAGAGGTACTATTATAAGTCTGCGAGCGTGGGTATGGACGGCCATCTGTCATCTATATTTTCGTGGCTTCATACTGCTCTATAACATTTAGTTACAACTGCAATGCCAATTTGTACAGCTTTGCTTCGTGTTGCTGCATCAAGTGCGCTTCACCCTTGCCAAGCCTCGATCAGCAAAAGCTTGATCGACACAATTTTCTGTTACCCATACATAAAACGCTCGGACGGGTCACAGTGAAGCTTTTCTCATTCTGTAAAAATTTGCAGTTCTCACCGCATCCCACCGCTTGTTCACACTTTTTACGAAGTGGTCACGTATGATCTGGCACATCTGGAACGAGCTGTTGGCACTAACTACCGTGGAAGGGGTAACTTTGAGGAATGTTTCGAGCGTCGTCGTTGACGTCAATAACGAATAGAAATGCAATATAAGGTGCACGCACATTACCTCAGCATCACCACCAAGTCTAATGGTCGGTAGACCACGAGTTCACAACTCTTTAGAACCTCTCGAAAAGTCCAGCTGGTATCCGTGGAAACTCGAGCACCAACTAGCAACAAGGGCTTCGTCTGAAGTAACAAGCAGAAGTTTGTGATTTCTCCGCGCATAAAAGTGAGGAATTACTTCATCAGCGTATGATCGTCTTCGAGAGGGTGCCCTTCATGGTAGCCGTTGTGGACGTCGAATGTAGCATCAACGAAGCAATGACGCAACGAACTATGAACAGCCGCCACCTGGTGTGTACCATACGGAAGGGGTCGTTGGTCGTCTTTTTTGGCATTCGTGAGTATAGCGTGTCAGGTGGGGGGTTGGAACAGAAGACATTGTTGCGGTGATTCGTATTGTAAGGGGTGTGTTAGCATCTGACGTAGGGGGGAAGAGAGCCGACAAAGGAGGGGCTGTTTCGTCATACCAGACTGTCCATCTGCTAGATGATTAAGTTAACAACGACCGGGACGGTAGAAGTCGTCTAGCAAATGCTGATCGAAACCGATGTACTTGACTTCGAACAATGTGTGACGTAGTACAAGACATCGGACATCAGAGACAACAAAGTGAGAGTGCGACGGAGTACAAGATATCGTGTTCCTCATGCGAGATGTCGTGTTCCTCATTCAAGATGTCGTGTTCCTCATCCAAGATGTCGTGTTCCTCATGCGAGATGTCGTGTTCCTCATGCGAGATGTCGTGTTCCTCATGCGAGATGTCGTGTTCCTCATGCGAGATGCCGTTTTCTTGATTGTATAGTGGCTCAGTGTGATGCTAGGACACAGCACCGGGACAGTAGTTGGCTGGGACGCACCGCTACGGTTGGTACAGTTCCAGCACGTTTACACCTGTTGGTGTTTACTGGTCAGTCCAACAGAGGGGGTTGTCACCTTCGAGTTTTTTTTCCTTCCTCAATCTTAAGGTGAGAGAAGCTCAGACTGTCCGTTGTTATAGCTACTTTTCACTAAAATGATGTCTGGTTGTGTGGTAACCATCTCGAGTCATCGACCATGATACAGTCTTACGACTCCTAGCTTTCTTATGTCTGGTTGTGTGGTAACCATCTCGTGTCAACGACCGTGACACAGTCTTACGACTCCTAGCTTTCTTATGTCTGGTTGTGTGGTAACCATCTCGAGTCACCGACCATGACACAGTCTTACTACTCCTAGCTTTCTGATTCTGCTGGCTCAAGTCGTCGGGCGTCACGGCGGGGCACTCCCGAAAGTGCCCGTGGAAACCGTCCGTTGACTAAGTCCAGGGTTGATTCTCGTGTGCACTCTACCGGATGGCGCGGCTGCTCTCGCGCTCGGGGCAATTTGATTCAGGGGACAGAGGAAGCTTGACTAGGACTCCTGTTGCTACTGCGGTAGTTTCAGTGAGCCATCTTGACTTAATTTCTGGTCATCACCTCGTAGTCGACTTCTTGCTCTTCAGGTCGGCTCGGGCTCACAACGTGCTCAAATGTGCCCAGACGCACCACTAAACGACGAGTATCTGGCTCGGTGCTACTGTACATGAAGAACCGGTACTGGATCTCAACGTGAGTCATCACGGTCTTGGGGGAGTTCTCTTCGTGGAAACGGGCTCGTGCTCAGCGAACGTGTCGGCGAGTTGTAGGCAGACCGTGAAGGGTAGGAACTTCTTCGTTTTGCAGGGTGATTCGATTCGTTGTCGACGTGCCCTGCACCAGGACCACTCCTGCGGGACATCGACACTCACCTGCGCATTGTGGCAAAATGTTCTTGACGATCAACTTTATTTGCGTCGTTGTTGAACCATTTTGAGGAACTTCAACGAGTGTAATTCGGACGCGCTGCAAGTGCATTGTAGGACTAAGAGCAGGAGGCGCACCAAATACAGTCAACTGTAAGTTTAATGACAACGAATACAACCAAAGACAATCAACTCGTCTCAATCCGATTATTTACTACGTTTCTAGTACCAGTGCTCATGGTCAACTTCGAGGACATCTTGTTGATAACTTCAGATACCCTTTCTCACCTGCTACAGTAGCTGTTGTGTGTAGGAGAGCGAACAATACTCTTGAACGTCAGAATGTATACACGTAACATTCTTCCAATGAAAGTGTCTCCGAGTACACCGAGCGCATTCATGATAGCCAGGTCAAAAATCAGTTTGGTGAAAGGGAACGTCTATGAAATAACAAGTAGTTTAAGAACAATGCCTACGAGACTTCGTTTCGGTGGAAGCGTGTGTGTCTCCAGTATGTTTTGGTGTGGTCGCTTTACAACTGCGCCGCCGACACCAGCAATTGCAGTTGATATACCGTCATCGTTACAGACACCTGTAAGTGTAACGGGGTTGCACGAAATCATGGTACTTTGTACCAGAGGTGTTACACACCTGAGGGTTCGCTTCTGTGAAGGTGATATAGAATATCTTATCGGTTTGTAGGGGCTGACGAGTGTCAGCCATTAGATACGAAAGATCTTTGAGTAGGATTAAGATATTCTATAGGCTTTAACAAAAATAAAATCAGTTCCCATTTTGATCTGAAAGACACGTGGCTTGTGAGCCGTCTTGATCGTTGATCTCTGATCACTAAGAGTTAGCGACACCTCCTTGAGGTAGCTACTCTTGAGCATTAAGTGCTGTCGATTCACTGAATCGTTAGGTCCCCTGGAACAGGGATCTGAAGCTATAAAGCTTGTTGACTCGTAAAGTCGTTAGTTCTTTAGAACTAAGTTGCTCGTAGAGCGTTAAGTCTTCCTCTGACTTAAGGAGCTGTGTAGCTCCGCTACACTTGGTAGCACTCGTAGTCAATCTACGCCTGAGTATTTAAGACTGATCCTCTGTGAGGATGGAAAACATCACTCCCCTATCTGAGGCCCAAAAGGTCGCGCTTGATAAGCTGACCGCATCTTTGGGTCCAGAGTACGTGGAGTTCCTTGTTTCACAAGGTCCTGAAGTGCTTAATGCACGTGTTGAAAGCTTCATGCAGTATGAAGCGACCCTTTTAGGGCAGGTCCAAGACCAAATAGCGTCGGCTATGCCTACACGCTACGTGTCTTTACCAGACGAAGAGGCTAAGCCTCGTCCACTTAGAGTGGAAGTAAAAAACTACTCCGGTAAGGAGGGCGAGAACCTCATCCTCTGGATCCGTGAGATCGAGATGGCCATGAGATCAGGCCTGATCACGCTTGACCATCAACAGGTCTCGCTGGCTATCTCGAAGCTCGATGGTAGAGCTAGAGAATGGGCCTTGACGTGTAGCACGTCGGTGGACATAGCGTTTCCCACATGGGAGTTGCTCAAGTTACAATTGGTACAGGTGTTTTCTCCACCTAACCAGGCTTACCGCGTGCGCTCACGCTTTCTTTCTACCCGCCAGGGTAAGAATGAATTATCGGACTATGTCCAAGAGCTGCGAACGCTCATGGCTGCAATGCAGTCTGACCCTTTGCCTGAAGCAGTCCATGTGACTATCTTCATGGAAGGTCTACGTACTGGCATTGCCAGAACCGAAGTTTTTTGGGTTCACCCCTCTACGTTTGAAGAGGCTATGAGAATTGCTCTTAATGCTGAGCATAACTTCAAGTCGGCCAGACTTGGTTGGAACGGATACAATCCTCGCTCTGTGAGAGCAAACTATTCGGGTACCACTGCCTATAATAGGCCGGAACCGATGGATCTCAGCTATGCTGAAGATGGAGGTGAAGCTGAGCTTCAAGCTGCTGAGCAGAAACACGTTGTAAGACGATGCTTTACGTGCGGAAGCACTAAACACTTTCGGCCTGGTTGCCCTTTGCGTAAGCAACGCCAGACTACGAGCCAACACTCGAGCCCGAGTCAGAAGTCTGGCATGGCACGGGGAAACGCGGAACCCAGTAGGCGCGGGGCGCCCTAATGGGGAAGAACTATGTTCTGTTACACCTTTAGAAGGTAAAGGAATGCAGGGCTTCGACCCAAAGAGTACCATACCTACGGGTATGGTGCGTGGATACAAGTCTGGCTTGTTGGTCGCCGAGGCGAAAATTAAGGGCTTCGAGAAGCCTTGGTCGATATTGATCGATTCTGGAGCGTCTTGCAATTATGCTCGACGCCGTTCCCTTGAGGGAAGTCAGCGTTATGCTGAGGCGCTTACAGCGCATGAGGGTGATTCTATCACGGTTCGTTTAGCGACTGGAAGTCGCGTTACTGTGCCTAAAGTTCCATTGAACTTAGGTATAAAGTTTTTAGACTTTGACAGTATTGAGCGCTGTCTTGTCCTAGATTTGGACTCGAGATATGATCTCATCCTAGGTATGGCTTGGCTTGAGCGCCATGAGCCATGGATTGATTGGAGGTCTAAGACCTTAGGCGCTACGCGCAATATTCCTAGCGAAGCTTTGGAGAGTCATGAACCCACCTTTGCTAGGCAGCAGAAGCGCTATTGGCGCGAGCCTTTGACAGAAGATGTCAATGTGCTGGATATTGGAATGTCCGAGTTATCTAACTCCAATGTTAAAAACATAAGTTTCGAGCCTAGCTCGTCTAAGACTAGTGAAACGGCACGTACTCCGTTGAGTGGTACTCGTTGTGATAACGAGTCACTGCATGCTGAAAGCATGGTTGGCCTAGGGCCGAGTGATCAAGGACGTGATTCCTTTGATGTGTGTATGGTGGCACGTGAAATTACACCGAGTGCGGTCGGCCGTGAGAGCACCGCACTGAATGTCGGTAATGATATTTTTGGCCATATGCCATTTAGTGTGGGCGGCCGTGAGGGCACCACGCTTAACGTCGGTAATGGCGTTGTTGGCGATTCGCCATATAGTGTGGGCGGCCGTGAGGGCACCCCACCTAATGTCAATAATGATATTGTTGGTGATACGCCGTATAGTGTGGACGGCCGTAAGGGCACCACACCTAATGTCTGTAATGACACTGTTGGCGATACGCCGTATAGTGTGGACGGCCGTGAGGGCACCACACCTAATGTCGGTCAAGACAAAAGCTCTCGTGTAGAGCGTACTATGGTTGGTAGTAACCGTGGGGACAATATTGTCCCGACCCCTAAGGGGTGTAAGGTCTCGAAGAGACAATCGAGACGCCGAGTAGCAGCTGTAAAGCGCCAGGCGTCCTCATAGTCACATCGTGAGATTAGCAATACACTATATACACTTGTTAATGGAGTGATTGGTCAGGTTAATGGCAATGTGAGCCTCGAAACCCTTCCATCTGTGGACGCTCTGTGTGAGCTAGACGAAATGTCTGATGGCGAGTTTAGCCAGGCCTTGAAGGCAGGAGAGTTATCCGAGTTAGCAATCATTAGACCTGATACTGACTTAAATTCTTCCTCGTTAATGGATGAGTCTGTCCTAGAGGATACAAAGGCGGCACTTAGTGCACGAAGTGGATCTTCGATCCTTAAAGATCGTTTGGATCCGTTCTATCCTTTAGTCAAGGAATTTCAAGATGTGGTGTGTCACAACCCACCTTCTGCCTTACCTCCCGATAGAGGTGTACGTCATGAGATTGACTTGGTTCCTGGGACTAAATACTGTGTAACACGGCAGTGGCCTTTGCCTAAAGAACAGTGCTACGTCATTGATGATTTCTTTCGTGCTAAGCACGCGGCTGGAATGGTTCGTGAGAGTAAATCTCCCCATTCAACACCGACATTTTGTGTCAGAAAGCCAAATGGCAAGTGGCGTATTGTGCATGCTTACAATAAGCTTAATGCAGCCACTATACCGGCGCAGACGCCTATTCCTAGAAAGGATGTTCTTCAGAACAATATGACGGGATGTACACTGTACAGTGCACTCGACTTAGTCGATGGTTATTACCAACTGCTCATGCGAGCAAGCGATATTCCGCTAACAGCGGTGGGTACTCCGAGCGGTATGCTTTGGGAGTGGCTCGTTATGCCACAAGGGCTATCTAACGCCCCGGCTACATTTAACCGGTTGGTAACGCAACTATTTAGACCTCATCGAGGCTATGCACAAACGTACTTTGATGACATTTTTGTCCATAGTCGTGCAATGAATGGGCGATCAGATGTGGATAACCACATTGATCATTTACGAGCTGTGCTCGAGTGCATGCGAACGAATAAGCTGTATGCGAACGCATCGAAGTGCATCTTTGGTGCAGAAGAGATTCCCTTTCTAGGGTGCTTCATTGGGAAGCGAGGCCTTCGAGCGGATCCCGCTAAGGTAAAAGCCATAGTCGATTGGCCAGTCCCCAAGAACCAAAAGGACTTGCGTAAGTGGCTTGGCCTTGCCAATTACTTACATAAGTACAGTGCAAATTACGCAGATATGGCTCGGCCATTGTCCAATCTCCTTAAAAAGGATGTGGGTTGGTGTTGGGGTAACACCGAACATAATGCTTTTGAAGCAGTTAAGGAGAGTCTCCTTCATGCGCCAATATTGGCTTTGCCCGATTCTGGTCGTCCTTTCAGTGTCGTCTGTGACGCATCTGACTTTGCCATAGGCAGTGCTCTGTTACAAACAGATGTTGACGGACGCGAACGCGTCATCGCATTTGAATCTCGACAGCTGAAAGCTGCGGAAAAGAACTATCCTGTTCATGACAAAGAGCTACTTGCTATGAAGTACGCTCTTGTCAAATTCAGAGTCCATCTGCTTGGCTCGAAGCCATTTGTGATCTATACCGATCATGCGTCATTGCGCACTGCGACGCAGTCGCCTCATCTCTCACAGAGAATGTCTCGTTGGCTTTCATTCTTTGCCGAATATAACTTCGAGGTAAAGTACAAGCCAGGTAAGCAAAACGCTTTGGATGATGCGCTATCGCGTCGACCTGACTATGAGCTTGCTCATGTTACGACCTTGTCGTCGTCAGTCCCTGACTTAATTTGTGCGGCATATGCCAAGGACGATCAGTGTGTAGCTTTGCTACGTGCTCTTGGGAGCGATGAGTTTAAAAACTCGGACATAGAATTGTCGGCACGTTTACGTGCGAGGCTACATCGATATTCCATCGATAATGGCCTGTTGTGCTATCGCACGGATATTGAGGACAACCCTCGTATCGTAGTACCTCATGATGAGGAATTAAAGTATCGGATCCTCTATGAGGCACATGATACTGCTTTAAGTGGTCATCTCGGTCGTGAGAAGACTTATAGCTCGGTGAGCCAAAGTTATTGGTGGCCAAACTTTATAAGTGGGTGCGCACCTATGTGCGTACGTGCGAAACGTGTCAACGGGTAAAACCCTCGGCACATGCGGCGGCGCCGCTGGCTAGTTTGCCGGTACCCAGTGGTTGTTGGGAGTCCATGAGCATGGATTTTGTGTTTGGCCTACCGAAAGATTCGGAAGGCAACACTGGTATTGTGGTCTTTGTTGACCGATTGAGCAAGATGGCTCACTTAGCGGCTGTGCCGGATAGCATTGATGCGGAAGGTACAGCAAAGCTGTTTATCGACCGTGTGTTTCGCCAACATGGCTTGCCTGTGGCAATTATCTCTGATAGAGACCCCCGCTTCACTGGGAAGTTTTGGAAGTCTATCTTCAAGGTGCTTGGCACTCGGTTGGACATGTCCACAGCGGATCATCCGCAGACCGACGGTCAAACTGAGCGTGTAAACCGCGTCATCAACGACATTTTGCGCAGTGTTTGCGCTGATACGCCTAGGCGTTGGAGCTCAATGCTCCCTATTGTTGAGTTTGCGTTGAATAACGCTGTTCATGCCTCAACAGGCTTTACTCCGTTCTATATAAACGGTCTCACTCACCCTCGCGTTCCGTTAACGCTATCACTACGTGAATCAGGGCTTGGTGGGGGGAGAGGTTGCCGATCGGCTTGCTGATATCAGCCCTGCTACTGTTCAAAAACAGGTAAGCGAGTTTCTCGCAACGCGATTAAATGTCTTAAGACATGTGCGTGACGCAATGGCTGATAGCCAAGATACCCAAAAACAACAAGCTGATGCCAAAGGCAGAAATTGTATTGAACGTTATGAGGTCGGAGACCAAGTACTACTCAATGCTAAAAATCTACCTACAAATGTAGTGTCTGCTGTCTTTAAGACAAAGTTGCGTCCACGCTTTATTGGACCGTTTACGGTCACGGCCAAGAAGGGACTTGCGTATACGCTAAACCTCCCGCGCAAATTGCGCACACATCCAGTGTTCTACGTAGGCTTACTTAAGCCGTACCGGGATCCTTCCCATGTGAACTTGGAGGTGCTTGCGCCGACGACAAGGGCACTGCCCCGGATTGCTGTAGACGAATCAGCAAGTCCAACTGAGCCTCGCTCCGAGTTTGAGCTTGCTCCATCGCCTGAAGGCGGCTTTGCATCGCATCCAGCATGCACTGGGACTTACCCAAGGCCTCTTGAAGACCCTTCACTTCGAGAACCAATTTCTCGTGGGCCTCCACCGGTACACCGGCCGCCACCGACTTTGCTCAATAAGCATGGGTGTCGTCAATTCCATGTCGAGAGACTACTGAAACGACGTCGTCGTCAGGGCCAATACCAGTATCTGGTAAAGTGGCGTGGGTACCCTGAGTCTGAAAACTCATGGGAATTTGAGGTACCCCTTCGGCAAGACTGCCCATATGCTTTGGAGGCTTTTGAGCATCGTGGCCATGGTCATCTCGAGGCCGAGGCCGTTCACCACCACTAGTGGTGCGGGTTGGCGGGTTGTTGGTCACAGACTGACCAGCACTCGCGGCTACCTTAGTAGCCGAAGCATAGCGCGTGCGCTTGCGCAATTGGCCTCTGGCCTTAAGCTTGGCATAATCATACCGAAGCGTGCGTTCGAGACGCACATCCGCCGCATGGGCACTAGCCCTTAAAGCAAAAATGTTGCTGAGGCGACGCACATAGTGCACCCAGTGAGCAAAGGCATCGTCTTCTTCACTCGCTGTTTCGCCTGCGAGCAGGAGAATGGGTATACCCTTCATCGGTGGAACTGGTGCACCACGTGCTTGCATGTCAAGGCGTGCCTTGTATTGACTTTGAGTCGTTAGGTGCGGCTCCAGGTACCTCTCACGAAGTGCCTGGCAGCTCATCACCTCCTCAGGAGTCTTAGGCCCATGGCCAATGACCCACGTTGCCAATGTTTGGCCGGCCGCTTGACGCAGACGTTCCTCCACACTGGGTGGGGTGAACACAGAATCACGCTGGCGTTCAAGGGTTGCAGTAATCTGTGCATAACGCTGAGCGTTTTCTTCTCTTTGAACAAGCAGTTGTTGTTGCTCATTGAGCGGGTTCGTGATGATAGTCTCATCAGAACCAGATGCTGCATGCTGCGCTGGCGGCGCGCTCGCACCTCCACGTTCAGCGAACGGATTTGGGGCGTTCGAAAGTTGTGCCTCAGGCATCAGTGAGCCGGACGCTGTCCCTGTGTCACCGCGGACACTGGTATCGCTACCATAGTCCACCTCTTCCTCTATTCCGAGGTAGTCACACAGAGCCTTTGACTCGTTTGGTGATGAGGACATCGTGCTGGAGCGTACGTTACCGTGAGTTTCACCGTACGCGCACTGTTCTCGCTGAGAACACGAGTTCGATTGACGTTTTGGCAAACGTCAGTCTGGTGGGGGAGGGTGTAACGGGGTTGCACGAAATCATAGTACTTTGTACCAGAGGTGTTACACACCTGAGGGTTCGCTTCTGTGAAGGTGATATAGAATATCTTATCGGTTTGTAGGGGCTGACGAGTGTCAGCCATTAGATACGAAAGATCTTTGAGTAGGATTAAGATATTCTATAGGCTTTAACAAAAATAAAATCAGTTCCCATTTTGATCTGAAAGACACGTGGCTTGCGAGCCGTCTTGATCGTTGATCTCTGATCACTAAGAGTTAGCGACACCTCCTTGAGGTAGCTACTCTTGAGCACTAAGTGCTGTCGATTCACTGAATCGTTAGGTCCCCTGGAACAGGGATCTGAAGCTATAAAGCTTGTTGACTCGTAAAGTCGTTAGTTCTTTAGAACTAAGTTGCTCGTAGAGCGTTAAGTCTTCCTCTGACTCAAGGAGCTGTGTAGCTCCGCTACATGTAGAATCTGTGCCCGACTTAACAGCGAACACAGACGTCATTGGGGCTGTACAGAATCAACTATTGCAGGTGGAGGCATTTCCAGGACTTTGACGAAGCTTCGGGA